CTCCATACAAGCCTCTCTAACTGTATTCTTAGATAACTCACACAATCCTTGACCAAGTATTGAGTGAAAGTGATAGGAGTTACAATCCAACAAACGTGGCTGCTTAGGTAGATGGTTCAAAATCACAACAGTGGATACTTTCTATAGAACTGTAGAAAAATTAAAGCAAAAATTCATCTAAATTTCTCTTCAGATTTGCAAATTCACTTCTGATGAACAAGTAAGCAGATATACAGAGATCAGCACATACAATTAAGGCTCATATCTACTATAATCTTGAAAAAGAATTCAATAACAGTAGGACACTTCAGAGTAAATAGCTGTCTCCTCAGTAAGTATCTTGAGGCCCAGCACCTAAGGATACTCTGACAGGAATAGATTGAAAATGACAGTGAAAACACAGTTCCACATTGCTAGCATTCAAAGCAGTGGTGGGATTCAAATAGGTGAACAACCGGTTCTCTGTGTGGATGCCGCTTCTGGAAGTCCATTCTGGGCCTGGGCAACAAAAAATTAGCTACCGGTTCTGCCGAAGTGGTGCGAAATGGCTGAATCCCATCACTGATTCAAAGTATGCCCACCCGCCCAAAAACATTCACTAAGAATATTCAACATATCGGCATATATACTCTTTTTATATCTTTCCCAAAATTACCTGCTGTGCCTAGAACATTTCAGATAGATTATTAGCCTGATGAGTTGCCCTGCATGCTCTGAAATAACTTGTATTATGTAGGTCTTCTTCAATGAGCTCCATAATAACTGTTGTTTTATTAACATAATTTCTGGTCCTATGATAAAATACTAAGGTAACACAAGTCATTGTAGCTGGCTTACAACGTGGAAGAAAGTTGCCGGCTAATTTTTTTTCCAAAACTGCAGAGTCTTTTTATTAAATAATGTAATTGCCAAATGTTAATGTTCCACCTCAATGGAATACGTATGATGTTACAACTTTCTAAGCCTCTGAAACAATTTCATACTCACAAGCATTTTTTTTCCAAAAGAGGAAGACCCAGTCAATGGAAGACACCAAGTGATATAGACTAATACGAATTCTACCAAAATATCCCCCCCCCCTTTTTTTTTTAGAAGGGCAAACTGCCTGGTCTAATCCCAAAACACATTGCTCACAAGCCCAGACTGTATTACTTCTCCTTATTGTTGACAGTCCAAACATGTGTATCTTAACAGAATATAGTACACCAATTAGGATCTGGCACATTAGAACCACAGAGTTACAAACAGGGCATCGAGCTGACCTGTCCCAGAACTTAATTGAATTGCACTGCTATTCAGAAGCCTTTGAAATGAGCTAAGAGCTTTTTGATTTGACAATTTGTGATTATAGACAAATTAACTTGCCCCAAACTTTTAGATACATCAATATAATCATTTAATGGGCTTTTTCAGTTCACAAAGCTTGGCAATTTTCCAAAGCAACTTGCTTTGTTGTCTAATTGTTGCATTTAATAGGCTTTCCCTCAAATGCTGGATTCAAATTCACAGTGCTACAGTTTAAAACAGCTGCTTTGCCTTTTTTTTCTATGGCAGAAGGAATTTGTCTTTCTAATGTGTTTAAATTGGTGCATCTGCCAGAACCTTAAGTTAAATTCCAAGTCAAGTGTTCTGCTTCAACCATTTGACATCCAGATTTCACATCAAATCTAAAAGAAGGCTAGGATGGTAGTATAGAATATTCCAGCTACCTTTTTGCCACATTAACATCCCTTATCTCTTTAGCTGAAATAACTTCAAATGGCTTAATTTTACTAAACGGGAAGATTAAAAAATGCCTATAATCCAGTACAATATGGAGTGATCCTACAGCAGACTTAAAGGCAAGTATAATATGTTTACGCTAAAAACATGATGAATTTTGTCACTCTGGTAGTGCCTAACCCAAATTAGCTTCCACTGGTACGTTGGGATGAAGAGAACTGACTTGTATTTCACAATTTTGACAGTTCTCTAGTTTATCTCAAGCCAGGGATTTGAATCATGAAGAATAGAACTCTTCTTCCACATGTTCCATAAGATCTAGCTTATAGCAACTGTACTAAAAAGGCTCTTTAGTACTGTGGCAAAACACACTGACCTACTGTCAAGAAATGACAGTATACTGTAAAGAAAATTAAAACTTAAGCATGCTGAAATGCTATGTGAGAAACACCTTGAGTGGGGGATGAATGGGGAGATGCTGCCTAGAAAATGGTCAGATAAGAGAGGACATAGCCCATAGCTGCAAAACGGGTAGAAAAAGAAGCTCAGAACCCTCCCTAACCTCTTCTCAGACTGTAAAGGAGAGAGCAGGAGATTTGTACTTTAGGACTTGCAAGATTCTGTTACTATAACCTTACAATAAAGCAGAATTAGCTCAACTGATCATGCGTCCTGTCTGGTTTACCTGAGAAGTCTGACATATGTTTAGGAATAGCCATATTGAGAAGACCAATATGGACCAAATCAATGGACCAAAAAGACATCTGTTTATTCTTAAAATGGAAGGGCTGAAAGCAGGGCTTTTCAACCAGTGGTACGGGTACCACCTGTGGTACATTGGCACCTGGCAGATGGTACGCGACCATCCTAGAAAAGTGGTAGCGGGGGAGAGGAATGAGCTGAACCGGTGGCAACACCGCACAAGCCTGAGCGAGAGATGGCTGCAGCTACAGGGCTGAGCGGAAGCACCAGGATCAGTGCCGCTTTCCAGCTGATCGGCGCTTCTTCGGGGCTGTCAGGGCTCAGTGGAAGCACAAGGATCAGTGCCAGGCTACAGCTGGAGCTCGGCACTGATCCTGGTGCTTCTGCTGAGCCCTGAAGAAGCACCAATCAGCTGGAAAGCAGCACTGATCCTGGTGCTTCTGCTGAGCCCAGAAGAAGCGCCGATCAGCTGGAATGTTGCAGCATCTCCAGGGTCTTGTGATTTACATTCAGATGCTTGACAACTGATTCATATTTATGACGGTCACAGTGTCCCAGGGTCATGTGAAGTGACCAAAACCTGCTGCAACCACCCAGCAGATGGTGGGAATAGAAACCAAACACCCCCCACCCCACCCCCACGGCCAATCCTCAACAGAAATGCTCACAATGATGAAAACCTTGGACAGGAGGAAGAGCGCCGCCGGGCGGGCAGGCTGTGGCTTGGGGGGCACTTTTTTCAGTGCCATTGTAACTTTGAACAGTCACTAAGCGAACTGTTGTAAGTTGAGGACTACCTGTACTTTATCACTTTTTTCCTTCTTTTTTTTGATCATTAAATTTTTGACACCTTGCTAGGCAACTGGTGGTACTCGGATGTTGCCATATCCTAAAAGTGGTACAATGGGTGAAAAGGTTGAAAAGCCCTGGCTTAAAGCTTACTAACCATACATTACATTTTAAATTCAGTTAAATATTTCCACTTGAAAAATTTCACCTTACCCAGCCCTGAAGAACAGCTTATTTAAAAACAAATATTCTGGGTTTCATAATTAGACATAACTGAAACCCAAACAATGTTATACAGCCATACATACAGTACAGGCCTATAAATGCTGGAATCTAACTTCTGAATAGCATGCTTGTTGGACCTGTAACCCCAACAGTTAGTTTTTCTTCTAACATACTTTTACTCAGTCTCTCCAATTCACAATAGGCAAACTCTTTCTTGTACATGTATCCCCCACGTTGTTAGGCAGTTGCCAAATACAGAACTGTAATCACCGATGAATCAGTAATAATGAAGCATGGGGACCTATAATTGCAACTCCTCCAAAACTACAGAAAAAAATATATCATTTTCACTGATTTCTACAGCTATGATACTTTCTCAACCTAAAACAAATGTAAAACAAACGTGTCTTTTTTCTGATTACAATGGAGCTCTTGTTCCTTTTTTGCCCATCACTAGTGTTAAAATGTCATGCCCCATTTTTTTTATCCTAAGCATGTATAATCAATTGATGTGATACCCTAGTTGTGATTGCATAAATGTGTAAAAATAAAAGTTAACTATCAATCAAATAGCTTAACTAATTTGGCAGGGGGAAAAGTAAGACAACCAAAACCTTCTATTCATGAAGCTTTGGGGGAAAATGTTCTGGCAGGCAAAAAAGGAACAAGAGATACAATATCATTATTTCCCCTATCAAAAAAATAAACTGGAATCTGTGGAAGAAGTTTTCTCCTCATATGGAGACTGAATGTTTACCTTTTATTCCCAAACAGGACATAGCATTCCAGTGGACAGCCTCCCCTCTTCTTCGCAAGTTTGAACCCAAAGGATCCATCAGTACCCCCATTCTCCTTTGCCTCACATTATATAATTTCATATTCCACGGTCGCCAAAGTCATGGTCACTATTAGCTAAGCAGATTAAGTGGAGGAGGTTCATTTTCATATCCATGTCCTCAATTACTGTTCCCCTTCCTTTCAGGATTTACAATAACACCTTACTACAATAGCCCCCCCCCCCATCCTCTTTTGAACCAACTCCTTTCTTAAATAAAAATGGCAAATACCTAAATCAAGATACGGAAAGGCTATTTCTGTATGATACAATTTTGACAATTTAAGCAATTATTTCAGACACAATGCTACTACCAACGCACTGAATTTTCACACCTTATTGCCACTGGCAAACAAAACTAAAAATTAAAGCTGGCAGAACTTTTTTCCAATAGAAAATAGGCATAGCAGCCAGTTCATACACGTTCAGTAGCAGTTGTAGGATTGTCAGGAAAGTTGTGCATTACGGGGTAAACTCATCAGCAATTCCACAGGGGCAGCAATTTGGTAGGCCAGCCGGTGTGCTTTTATCCTCATCTCGGCTGGCCATTTCTAACCACGGGGGGGGGGGAGTAAACCATTATTGTCTTATAGTCCAGAGTTGAGCCAAGTCTCTCCTTTGGCTATCACACCAAAGGTGGCGGACTCGAGTCCGATGCCCTCCGTTCTTCCATGCCCCTCCAGAGGCCTCCCTTCTCGATTTTCGGGTCCTTTAGCTAGAGGGGTACCTGCTCGACGGTGGCCGGGTCCATGCTCTCGATGCGGGCTGCCGCCGTCTCGTACTCATCTTCGCTGTTGTAGCCGGCGCCGACCTCATCTTCCTCGGGACTATTGCCTCCCCCTCCCCCAGGCCCCGCCGCCCCGCCGAGCCCTAGCCCGCCGCCAGGCCCCCCCTGCCGTCGCCGTTTGCTGTGGCCGGGCCCGGAGCAGCAGCCGCCGCCTACTCCGCCCCGCGCTTCGGCCGCTCCGGGGTCGAGTAGGCCGAGGCCGGGCCCGTCCCCCCCGGCTCCAACTCCGGGATTGGGCGGCGGAGGGGACCCGGCGGGGGGCAGTCCCCAGCGCGGCGGCGGCGGGGGAGGCGAAGCCCGGGGACGGGCTCCGCCGCGCCCGGAATGCGGATCCCCGGGTCCGACGCCTCCTCCAACGCCGACGCCGCGCGGGTGGGAATCGGCGCCGGAGCAGCCCCGGGAGTCAGGGCCGCCTACGCCGCCGGGGCCCCCTGGGCCGCCGGGGCCTCCCCCTCTCGAGCCGGGCTGGTCCCTATCTCCGTCTCCGGCAGCCGGGCAGGCCTTCTTCTTGGGCAGGATCGTCATGGCCAAAGCGAGGACGGGAGGGAAGGGGACAGGAAGGGGCTGGGAGGAGAAGGAGGAGGAGCAGCAGCACCGAGGGGCGAGACCCCCGGGCAGGAGCCGCGCGGAAGGACGCGTGTGTCGAGGCGGCAGTGGCGGCGGCCAGACGAAGACCGCCGCGCACCGAGGGCCGACCGCCGCCGGGTGCCCGGATGAGACGGGCTAAGCCACGAGCAGGTTACCCGGATGAGGAGGGCTCGGGGAAGGGGGGGGACAGAGGGAGGCAAGGGCAACGTCGGGGGCGAGGAGTGGAAAGGGACGGCAGAAAGGAGAGGGAAGGTGGAGGCAAAGTGCCCGGATGACAGGCTCAATCACAACGTATGGCCGTCCCACGGCAACTCCGCTCAGCTCAGCAGGGAGGCGGAAGGAAGCGAAGCATTCAATCCCCCCAGGAGGCGCCCGAGAGGGAAGCGGCCGTCCCGAGCAGCCCAGTTTCGCTGATGAAAGGGCCTTTTCCCGCTGGCACCTAAAGCTTCCGGACCTCTCGCGGTCTCCTGACAGCGGCGTCTACTATGGCCCATCTATGGGCCCGGCCTAGTGTCAACATCAACACAGCCGGCCTCTGACCCCGGCGAACTCAACTTCCGTTTCCACGCCCCTTAGCAACAGGTGAGGCGGTCCCTAGGCAGACCATAGCAACCATCCCTTGCCTAATGGTTGAGTGACATGTTATTTAAACATTCATGGACTGGTAGTGGCGGAAGTCCTTTCCTGAGTAGACAGCGTTACTGTCAGTTAGCTGTTACCCTGTCTTTTTATTTCTCCTCCTCTTCCCCCCTTCACAGTTGACTGAGTGAGGGAGGCGGGAGCTTTTAATTTATCTCAGCAGCAGACTTCGTTCCGATAGGGCTAGGAATATAATTACCGTTCCTTAATTCGTTAACAAATGCAAATCTCATTTGTAATTGGCGGAAATGGGCAGAGTCTTTCTGATTGGCTGGGGGCTCTCCCGGGTGTAAAAATCGATAGGTTGAGGCAAAAGTTCCTGCGGCTTTTTGGTGTCCCGAAATTCTTCGATCTGATTGGCTACTGCACACTTCCGAGTGGCCTGATTCCTAAACCGTCCAAATCGAGAAAGTGTGTTCCGGTGCTTTATATTCGTTTTCTTGAACGCGATGTTTGTTCCAATAGCTGAAACTACAATTCCCAGAATACCTATTCAAAGGCCATGCTTTCTGAGTATACTGGGAATCGTAGTCCCAACGTTTCTTACTGTGCCGACTGTATCTCCGAAGCATTTGAACAAAACAACATCGAGGGTGAACTAAACAAGTTGCCTTTTTTTTGTATAATTATTTTTAAAAAGAGGAAGTGAAAACGAAATTAGTTTTCATTTTATAGATAGACATAGAAAAAATAACTCCTCGACGGTTTTAAGAATATATTAAATAGAATATAATGGCAAAAAATATGGCCAGAAACATGGTTTTAATACAGGCTTTCCCAAAATGAGGTGTACCTTCCTTTGGGAAGTGCAGAGAAGATCCAAGGATGGCATGAAGAGTCTTTTAATTAATAAATCCACCTAGCTTAAGGTTTCGTTCTATTGTTTTCATTATTCATTTGTGTTCATTTTGGTGTTTGGATTTTTGGGGGAGGTGTGTACATTAAGATAATACTGTACTAAAGGGAAGTGTGATGGCAAAAAATTTAAGAAGTAGCTTTTTTAAAAGGGCATTTTTAATACATATGGACATTTCTAATGAACATTGCACATGATACTGAATTTAGTAGTATTGTTTATGTTAGTAGTAGCAGCTAAGAAACCATGAATACTGAGCTGCAAGTATCTGGATGAGTACTAGATGGCATGGAGAAGCGAGTGGTTTCTGTGCAAGAAGTTTCTGTACTTTTGTATCTCTATGCTGTAATCTAGCAGTGACCCAGATTTTTGTAAATCCTATACAGGTAAATTCTCAATTTACAATCATTCATTTAACAATGGTTTGGAATCACAATGGTGCTGAAAGAAGGGACTTATGACACGTCCTCAAAGTTATGACTGTTTCACCACCCTGCAGTGATGTGATCACAGTTTGGGCACCTGGCATTTATGACAGTTACAGCATCCTGCAGTCATGTGACTGCATTTGTGACTTTTCCACCCAGGTTCCAATAAGCAAAGTCAATGGGGGAAACTGGATTCCCTTAATGACTGCATGATTTGATTAACAATCACAGTGATTCACTTAAGAATTGCAATAAAAATGGTCTCCAGTCACTTGATAACTCACTTAATGATTGAATCACTTAGCGATCATATATTCTGGAAATGTATGACCAGAGACAATATTTGAACCTCACTGTTATATCCAGATTATGCAGTTCAAGTTGTTTGTGGAAGCAGAGGGCAGAATATATTAAAATAGCCCTGTTCAAAGCTGTGTGATATTTGCAGTGTTCCCTATCCTTTTCCTGATTACTGATTTTCAGTATTGGTGTCTCCCAACAAATATGTTGAAGCACCTCTTGTTTGGTGGTTTTATATCCTGTAAATATGGAAGTAAAATTGCTACTGTTGTTATACATTTTAATTATGTCTGGCCTTACGGCTGTAATAAACAGATTGATTGATTTGTTGAAGCACCTCAAAATTCCTTAGTAGTAATACAGAGCACTAGGTTAAGAAAGCTGATTCTAAATATTTGTTTCAGGTTTTTGTTTGCTTAAATGTTAAGCACAGTAAAATATTTATTGATTCAAATTACGCTAAATCAGGGCTTTTCAACCAGTGGTACGGGTACCACCTGTGGTACATTGGCACCTGGCAGGTGGTACGCGACCATCCTAGAAAAGTAGCGGGGGAGGGGAATGAGCTGAACCGGTGGCAGCACCGCACAAGCTTGAGCGAGAGATGGCTGGAGCTGCAGGGCTGTCAGGGCTCAGTGGAAGCGCCAGCATCAGTGCCGCTTTCCAGCTGATCGGTGCTTCTTTGGGGCTGTTAGGGCTCAGTGAAAATGCCAGGATCAGCGCCAGGCTCCACCTGGAGCTTGGCGCTGATCCTGGTGCTTCTGCTGAGCCCTGAAGAAGCACCAATCAGCTGGAAAGCAGCACTGATCCTGACACTTCTGCTGAGCGCAGAAGAAGCACCGATCAGCTGGAATGTTGCAGCATCTCCAGGGTCTTGTGATTTACATTCAGATGCTTGGCAACTGATTCATATTTATGACAGTCACAGTGTCCCAGGGTCATGTGAAGTGACCAAAACCTTCTGCAACCACCCAGCAGATGGGGGAATAAAGACCAAATACCCCCCACCCCACCCCTGCTGCCAATCCTCAACAGAAATGCTCACAACAATGAAAACCTCAGACAGGAGGAAGAGCACCGCCGGGCGGGCAGGCAGGTGTCTTGCTAGGCTGTGGCTTGGGTGGCACTTTTTTCAGTGCCATTGTAACTTCTAAGACAGGGCTTTTCAACCTTTTCACCCATTGTACCACTTTTAGGATATGGCAACAGCCGAGTACCACCAGTCACCTAGCAAGGTGTCAAAAACTTGATGACCAAAAAAGAAAAAAGTGATAAAGTACAGGTAGTCTTCGACTTACAACAGTTCGCTTAGTGACTGTTAGAAGTTACAAGCATCTGAATGTAAATCACAAGACCCTGGAGATGCTGCAACATTCCAGCTGATCGGTGCTTCTTCTGTGCTCAGCAGAAGTGTCAGGATCAGTGCTGCTTTCCAGCTGATTGGTGCTACTTCAGGGCTCAGCAGAAGCACCAGGATCAGCGCCAAGCTCCAGGTGGAGCCTGGCGCTGATCCTGGCATTTGCACTGAGCCCTGACAGCCCCAAAGAAGCACCGATCAGCTGGAAAGCGGCACTGATGCTGGTGCTTCCGCTGAGCCCTGACAGCCCTGCAGCTCCAGCCATCTCTCGCTCAAGCTTGTACGGTGCTGCCACCGGTTCAGCTCATTCCCCTCCCCCGCTACTAGGTGACTGGTGGTACTCGGCTGTTGCCATATCCTAAAAGTGGTTCAATGGGTGAAAAGGTTGAAAAGCCCTGCGCTAAATGAATAAATTGTCCTTATTTTTACATTTTTAAAACTAAATGTACCAATGATGTACTCCAATTCCATATACATTTATATGGATCCACAAATCTTATGCATGTCTATGTATCTGTTATTTCCAAAAAAAGAGTTTATATCAGCCCCAATTATTTCCATGCCAACAATGTGTGATTTAAAAACATTGTTTTTATTGGGAAAGATAATTTGGTTAAAGCTTTTTTCTTTTTTTCTAGATTTTAATTAGAAAATGTTGTATAGAATAATAATTTGAATAACTTTCCAAGTGATATTTGTAATAATGGAAGTGGCTGGTATACGACTTCAATAAGTGATTATGTTCATCCCAAAATTCTCTGATACTTTCCCTACATGGAATAAGAAGAGCACAAAGCTGCTTTGGAGCTCTCATCCAGTGTTGTTTATTGGCACAAAACTACAACTGCGTCCAACTTCTCTCTTCAACATCTTCTCTCCCAGTATACCTTAGTAATGATACCTCCTGACCCTCTGTTAAACCCATCCCATATGCTTGACATTGTATTTCTCCCTCATTATACACACAACCTCCCCTCCCCAGTCCAGATCAGTTTTGTTCCTCCTATTTGTACACAAATAGGAACCTGAGTTGATGTGAAACTATAATTATACACATCACAAGCCCACACAGCATGAGAACAAAAGGGAATTCTTTTCTAGTCCAACCACTTTTCTCATTCCCTCAGGGCACAGCAAGAACTTTGTCATATTGAGGGCTAAATCCAGAATATTCATATATTCAGCAAAATGGACGAGTAACATTTTCCAGACTATCCCATCACTTCAGAAAGTGAAAGGGTTTGCATATCAGAAACAAAAGTCAAAACTTCTTGCATGTGGTGAATTAACAAGCTAGAGAAAGTTCCTTCTAGTTTTTTTGGTGACATGTTTTTTTACTCTTAGAGAGGACCATTCAGACATGTACCTTCACCACAATGTTCTTGAAGCAGTAAATTATCTAATCTAGAAAAAGCTTTGCAAATGGATTCTGGTGCTTTGTTATTAGATGTGTAAGAATTCTCATATATGGCCTTCATTTGAGACAGATCAGAGATTGTAAGCTGGAGAAGGGAACTATGTGTAAGAAAATGCAGATTTTCTTTGCATATAGTAAAACCTTGGAATATTGCTATCAGTTTCATGAGGATAGAGAATTCTTGTTCTGTTTAACTCTGAAGCTGACACCGGGTACTATATTCTACATTTAGGGTGCTTGTGAGATTTTCATTGTGCAGTTGGGCTGCTTTATTCCCAGAATGCCTGATAGCACCATTTATGGAAAAAAAAACAGAAGAGATTTCAGGAAAATGAACAAATTATATTCTGTTCCTGACCTGTCTGCATTATCTTTTTTAAGCATTTGTACTTAAAACTATTGTTGAATTTCCAGTTCCCCTAAGAGATAAAAAAAAGAATAAAAGACATATTCTTTTCCTTGGATATCATTCAGTTCCCATCGTTTGCTAAAAGTACATTTGTGATCAGCATTAAAGTGCACGGGGAAAAATTGACAGCATTTTTTTAACTATCCGACACATGGAGATATTGCTTCACTTGTGTGGGAAACTCTGGTGCATAAATGGAACAGCAACCCTGAGAAACAAATGTAGAGGAAGAAAGGGAGAAAAGCCAGAGTATGTGTTATGTGGGTCTGTCTGAGGATACTAACTTTCAGCACCCCATGAGTCCCATTTACCAGAGTACAGGCTGGTTTAGGAATTTAGCCTGAACGCATTTCATTCCATTCATATTCACTAATATGCTGCTGCTTTGCAGGCCTCCAGTAGAGCAGGTTTTTTTTGTAATTTGGCCATTACCGTTTCCCATAATTCTTTAGCATGGCCAAAATTCATGCTGGCTGAGGAATTGTGGGAAACATTCCAGTATATGTGGAGGGCAACAATTTGTGGAAGACTGGCATCCCCTAAGTTGTGTCTTAATTGACTGGTGATTTTCAGCTGTCTCATAACAGGTTATTGTTATTCCACATATATATCCAGGAGAGAGAATCCAACATAATTAGCAACAAAAAAAACCCCCAGAAAACAGTCAGGATGGACACAAACAGAACAAAGAAGCCATTCCTGTTTGAGAGAAAATCCTTTTCTGGACATGAGAGCTGGCCAACTTGATGCATGCTATGGGCCTTGTGGCTGGTTTGATACCTAGAACGGTATCCATTATCCCACCAAAGTGCTTTTGCTTCTTCTCTGCTTTCTGCCATTTTAGTTCCTTCCCCAGTTACAGTGCTTGGTTAATATCAAGATTCAGTCTTTCTCTCCCTGGTTATTATAATGCAAAAAATGTCTGTAGGAGAAAGACGGCCACATAGACCACTGTATCCTGCTCTGCAGAGTTGGTTCAGTTCTTCACAGCATATTTTCCATCAGGGTGGTGAGATGAGACGGGAACCCAGCTATACATGCATGTGACAGTTTGCAGCTGTAGACTTGGGATCTCAACTCTTGGAGGTATAATACACATGCACAGTCTTTATGCTACACAATGTGGGGAAGTGCAGGTTTCTCTTTGTGTGTGTGTGTATGTATGTATGGTTGGGATCATAATACATGAGATTCCCATGAGGTGTAGCATTTTGGTGCAATAGACTTTTTTCTTTTGCTTTTAAAGTGCAGTTTCCAAGAGACAGAACAGGTATTGGGAGAGAAGGAGAGAATAAGAGAAAAAGTGGCAGGTGGGGTTTGGGGGAAGCTGATAGGCTCCATCCACCCCAGTGATGTCATGGCTTAGCCAGGAGATAGAAAAATTGTTGGAAGCTTTGTTGATTCTGGTGTTTTTTTTTTCCTTTTTCATTTCCCTCCTTAAATCTTGCAAGCATCCATGGGTCATTGCTCTAATCACTCCACCACACTTTCTTGACTATGCTGGGGACAGAATTAATTAAAGAGGTTTTCTCTCTCTTGAGAGACTTAGACCTTGAGGACTAAGTTTTCTGAGGCGGCAACTCATCTGTCAGCCCCGGCTACACTGATGTACGAAACCTATGACTTCTTCACCATTAGATTCTTCTTCCCTTCTAAAGCCATGGGTGCCAAAGTCCTTGATTCCTTTCCTGCTCTAGAATCTAAACCCTTCTTCAGTTCTAGAGTTAAGAGAACAAAAAGCAGGAGTCTTAGCCCACCCTTGTCCACAACTTCAGAGACAAGAGGTTTGGTATTGTGAAACTATCTAAAGGGTAAAAAACCCCATCCCCCATAGCAGGGATATGTTCCTGAGTACCCCAGAGATCCATCTACTGTGACCCAGTTTTCCCTGCATTGCTCTACTCTTCTGAAGTTGCATAGCATCTGGGATCCACTTCATCTCCTCTATGGCTTTGACTGCTGGGTTATGGGAGTTGGGCAGGCACCTCTTACATAAGAACTTCCTGTGTTGGTGGGTATCAATATCACCCCGACAAAGAAAGCTGATTCCCTCTGATCTTCTCCAGGTTGCAGCAACAGGGTGGGGTAGAACACCTATGCGGAAGAGCCCATTCCCAGATCCTAAATAAGACTCTGTTGACCAACAGGGACTCCCGAAGGAGAAAGGACCACCAACCCGACCCCACCCCAGCCTCCTCTTACAAGGAGGAGATCTTGACAGTCTCGTGAAGAAGGTACGGAGGGGAAAGGCTGGAATTGCGCACGGGTCCACCAGGGCCTCGAGGTGACGGAGGCTGACTGTCATCTGGTGTGTTGGCAGGAGGAGTGGGGATGCAGATAATGGCTGCTGTGAAGTCAGTGGTGTCACAGTTCAGCTTCAAGTTGTCATGGGTTTTGGCATTCAAGTTGGAACGGCTAGAGAAGCAGAAGACAAAGGAAGAAAGAGAGAGAGAAATTACAAATGCAGAGGTCATCCCAGCCTCAAAGTATGAGATTCTTTAATAATAGACCTTGGGTGGAGAATCAAAGACTTCCCAGATATAGCTGACCACAACTCCCGGCTCACATGGCCAAATGCTGAAAAATGCAAATAAACTTAGCCATATCTGGAGGCTCAGCGATGGGCTGAACCACAAACATTCCTAACAAGTATTAAAACTAAACAAAAGGAGCATGTTGTACAAACGCAGTCACACTAGCCAATATATTTCTGAAGCCGCTGAGTGAACTTCAACCTTCCTTACAGAGCTGGGGTTACAAAGGTCTATGGCAGAGCGCTGCTTCTCCCAAAGAGCTGATCCCCTACATTTTAATTATTTTGAAATGTATCATTTCCATCTTCCATAATTTGTTCCCTGTCCAATCCTTGAGACAGTTTCCTCAGCTGTTTATAACCCATCAGCAGTATATTGAGTGATAAGCATCCATTCTATTTCAGAGATATAGCCCAAAAGCCAAGCTGTCTTTGGTTTGCTTGTATTCCTTCAATCTTCTCGGTCATCGCTTTTTTAAAAAGACATTTTATTAAATTCCAAATAGAAAAATCATAACAATAAAACAATAGCAGGCAAAAATTAAAAGATAATATGTGATATGTTTCAAATGATACTAAAACCATGTGGCTTGATATACAGGATGATCACTGCAAAGACTTTAATCATATTTAGAAAGGAGGAATGAAAAAAAAGGGGGGGAATGGTCATGTTGAGATAAATGATAGTTTTAAAAGAATATATAGATCAGCAACTGGATTCACAACATCTGCTAAGCCATAAACAGATCACTTTGTAGCTGTAAATGGCAATATTTACAGCTACAACATTTGTTAACAACATTGTTGGACCAGCATCTTTTGAGACACTTGAGATTGTAGAACAACTTGTTAAATCCTATAAAACTAAAAAAACATATTCATTGTTATAGTTACTTGTTATTGATACATCAATTTGATATGCAGATAATAAGAAATGAAAGGAATAAAAAGGTTTATATTTAACAACAACAATCTTGGAGGTCATCTAGTCCAACCCCCTGCTCAGGCAGGAAACCTTGTACCATTTCAGACAAATGGTTGTCCAGTCTCTTCTTAAAAACTTCTAGTGTTGGAGCATTCACAACTTCTGGAGGCAGGTTGTTCCACTGATTAATTGTTCTGTCAGGAAATTTCTCCTTAGTTCAAGGTTGCTTCTCTCTTTGATTGGTTGCCTAGATCAGGGGTCCCCAACCCCCAGTACGTGGACAAGCACCGGTCCACAGCATACCAGCAAGTGGGCCACACAAAAAGCAAAGCTCCATCCTTGGGATGCAGGCAGTATTCAAAACCACGCACTTCTCTGGTCCGCAGAAAAACCTTTTTCCATGGCACCAGTCCCTGGTGCCCAAAAGGTTGGGGACCACTGGCCTAGATAATGGAGAGTTTCTTAACTTCTATAGCAAGTGTCAATAAATTAAGATACAACAAAAAATAATTTTTACAGTTTATTGGACTCTATTATGTTTGTATAGAAAAGGACTAAGATGTAATAAGTATAATGCTTCATTAAAATACGTGTTTTTACAATGTCCTTTACTTATTAAACTTTGAGAGAAAGCAGTGGACTATACAAATATGACATTGGGACAAAAGTTAAATTTTTCAGAGGATAATATTTCTTGAATTACATACCTATTATATGGAATTTGACAAGTGGACAATGTAAATGGCCTTTCCTGTGGTCAAAAGACTGAAATTGCTGTATTGGAAAGATAAATGTGTGGCCCTTTCACTGGACTGAAGACCTGATTTTACTTGCTACCTTTGAGCAGATTGCCTAGAGACACAGACTTTGTATGGATAAGTATAATGAGATATGGAATTCATGTATATAAAATATGGTAGGTAAAAAGAATGGTTATATAAATGTATTAGAAATAAATATACACATACTTGAATAATATTTACATTAGATAAGTTTAGATATTATATATTGTAACTGTTAATAATTATATTTTCTTTTTTCTGTTATATTTTCTAACCTTTTTAAAGCATTTTTCATGTATTCTTTCCTTTGAGAAAGTATCAATCATAATTATCTTGGTGCTTTACTCATTTTCTTTTTTTGTTAACTTTTTTAAAAGCACAAAAATAAATAAAAACAAACAAGTCACATTTGGCTTAGCACAGTGTATGCACTCAGCCTCTAGTGAAAGGTTTTCCTTTTACTAAATGAAAGATTTTTCAATCATTTGAATGACTTTGAATTATATAGCCCAGCTCTACTCCAGCAGGGAAGAGACCAAATATTTAACAGAATACAAGACTGAATTGAGGGAATTGGAACTGTCCACATCCTTATTTGACGATTCCTGCATTTGGTTGGTAAATATGTAGCACCCAATGTTTCATCTGTCCCACTCGTGCCGGCAGAGGAGGCGTGCTGAGGGTCCCATCAGCCCAATAATTCCAGCTGGCGGGGTCCAGGAAGAGGGCCTTCTCTGCTGTTGCTCCAGCCCATCTCCATCTTAAGTTGTTGGCCCCAACCCTCCTATCCTTTCCTAAGGGCCTAAAGACCTGCCTCTGCCAGTTGGTTTGGGGCCCCAATGGGGAAATAGCACAGTGGAGATGGTTGATTGAGTAACAACAGATCTCACCTCCTCCCATTCCGCCCCTGCCCTCCCCATGTGTCTTTGGCTTTAATTTATATTTTAATGCAGGGGTCCCCAACCTATGGGCCCAGGTCTAGTACCGATCCGTGGCCTGTTGGCCACCGGGCTGCGGGAATGGCTGGCGAGTGCACACACTTATTGTCATGGTTCCGGCTAATGAAACACTTCAAAGAACTTCCAAGCATTGATTTTCCTAAAAGTCTTTTATTATGTTACAAAATGTCGGCATGGCATAACGAAGGGATGCTAAGATCTAAATTCTCTTCCCCTGAGCAATTAAGTTATCAGCATGTTCCCTCCCTAAATTTGCTGTCATATATCACGTTCTCCAATTAGTGTGAAGGGCAAAGGTTCCCGGGCTTTTCCCTCCTCCCTCCTCTGCTCTACATTAACTCTAAAAATACCAGACAGTTCTGCATATTTTGTCAAAGCAAGAATATACAGTATTTGCAGCGTTGACACGTATGCATGCACCCTCCCCACTTGCACAAATGCCACCACGCGGGTGCTAGCAGTCCCGTTTGCGCATGCACGGGGCCGCTAGTGCTGCCAGTATCACGTGGACACTAGTGGCTGGTTTGCGCATACACGCGGGCGCTAGCGGCCCATTTGCACATGTACGCGGGTGCTAGCGACCTGTTTGCGCATGCACGCAGGCACTATCTAATGTGGCTATTATAGTCGGTCAATCATCTGAAAGGAAGACTGAAAAAAGTATAAGAACTAAGAACTAGAATTAAGAGAAACTTCCTGACAGTTAGAACAATTAACCAGTGGAACGACCTGCCTCCAGAAGCAGTGAATGCTCCAACACTGGAAGTTTTTAAGAAGAGACTGGACAGCCATTTGTCCGAAATGGTATAGGGTTTCCTGCCTGAGCAGGGGGTTGGACTAGATGACCTACAAGATCCCTTCCAACATCATCATCATCATCATCATCATCATCATCATCATTAGTGATTTAGTATATTTGTGCCCACAGGGAGGGAGGGGGGAGGGGCAGAGGAAGAAAAGATGGAAGGAAGGAAGTCATTCCAGAGAAATGGAAGAGATGAATACATCTGAGGTAAATTTTTCACACCTATTGTGTGCCATTCAAGTATCAGAAGTTTTAATGGAATGGAAACTGGCCTCTGAAGGCTTCCTGTCTTCACTGCTTTTCTTTCACCAGTGGTGTTTTTAAAGGAAAATTATTCTTAGTCATGCATGAGCATTTTAAAAGCTCAGCCAGAGTTGAGGAGGAGCATCTTTCAGCAGGTAGAGAGAATGTGATTCTTTCCTCATGATGTAACATCCAGTAAGGGATTTAACACTTTTTTTTCTTTACCTCTCTTCATTTTGTAACTTTTTCTTTATACAATTTTGTGTTTATCTTTTTTCACTTTATAAAAATGTATTTAATAATTTTTTTTTAAAAAAGAAATACATATACAGTAAGGGGGAAAGAGTTTTAAGTCAAAGCACAAAAAGGAAGCTCACCTGATGAAGTGCAGGCAATAAGCTTAACAATTAAATACAGTTTACAAACAACACTGGCTGCATTCATACAACATACAGTACTAAAACCATAAGTAAACCAACTACATTGTAGCTTACTGTGTGTGTGATCTAAATGGCTGGGTTTACAGAACTGGCTAAGTTGTAAGCCAGTGGTGGTGAACCTATGGCACGGGTGCCAGAAGCGGCACTCAGAGCCCTCTCTGTGGGCACGCATGCCGTCGCCCCAGTCCTAGGCCTTCAGCTGGGTTTTATAAAACCTTTTCGCTTTAGGCCTCCGTCGCCGTATGCAAAAAAAAAAAAGGTTCAATCAATCAGTCAATTTCAACTTCTTGCGGGAAAAAAAAATCTTGCAAAGTTGGAATTGATTGATTGAACTTTTTAGTCCCACCCAATCTGCCGTTACCACCGTAGCCACGCCCACCCAATGGGCACGCCCAGCCAATGGGCAACACCCAGCCAATGAGCCATACCCACGCGGCACCCAACGATGCATAAGTGGTTTTGGGTTGCAGTTTGGGCACTCGGTCTCTAAAAGGTTCGCCATCACTGTTGTAAGCTGTGGTTTGCAAGCCACAATAGCAGAGTTCACATCAGGCAAAGGTCTTTGGAGTGCAACCCTCTGGCATCTCTATTGTGACCCATATTGAGGACCAAGTGCTTGGGTTATAATATTTCAGGCCCTGGCTTTGTATGTTTTTATGTTTGGGAATGTTATGGAGCCATTTGTGTGCTTGAAACTGTTCAAAGCCTTAAGCCCCCAGTCAGAGCTG